AGTGGCTCAAATGTAACAGCTCAATGACATGCATTATGGGAGTGTGCCAATAAAAAGATACAATTATTTAAACACTGGCTATGGAAGACCACTCTGACTTCTAAAATGTGAAGCTCTTTTAATATGTGGTGTTGGTTGTTTTTAATGTAGAATAGGAACTAACATGCACTTAATGCTTCAGAGAATATTTTGTATGTGATGTCTTGAGAATATAACAGTTGTGTAACTAAACCCAGCCTGTGACCTTAGAAATCACAGGAACTGTTGGCGAGGAAATAATTTGTAAATGGGATAAAATATAATGTAGCTCAGCCAGTGCTTGTCTTCTATAGATACACTTTATAAAATGCTGGCTCGGTCGAAGTATAGTTAACATTCAGTAAGTAGGATGAAGAAGCTTGAGACCTTTACATTTTAAGACTTTAATAAAAATCTGTAGTAAAAGTAACTTTCTTTGAAAGCTTACTTGTGTAAAGAGACAATGCTGGTTTGTTTAACATGGGCTACTTTAAAATCAGTCCCATCTTATTTTGAATATTTTGTGGTGTCTTTGGAATTCAGTGAATGAGTCAAAATATAACTAGGAACCTGCAACATTTTACGTATTTTCATGATGTAGGAACTGAACAGTAATGGTTGTGGTCATGTCAGATTGATTAGTATTTGACAATTATTCATTTTTGTTACTGTTAAGTTAAACACTTGTGTGTTTGTAAATAATAAATATTTTAATCTTGCTTACTTTGTTGGTGTACTGCTTAATGCAGGTGTTTAAGGCTTCCTTAACAGAAGCAGCACTAGATAAATTGCTTGGAGCAGTGCTTTGATAGTTGGCTTTGAATATGAGCTCAATACTACAGTTACCTCCCACAAATGCTCTGAAGGTGAATTCTAATAAAAATCAACCAAGTGTAATGTAAGTGTATTCAGGTACTTGAGCTCTCTTTAAAACTGTGTGTATAATTTCTCAGTTACTTTCAGGGAGAAGTTAATGAGTTTGCAAGAATTCTGCATTATGTGTTTAAAGCTGGGGCAGGGAAATAATTGCTTCTGAGTTTCTGTACTGATCTATAAAATCCTAGTGGACTTAAAAAATGTAAAGTAGTTACTCCTGTCCATCCACTGATGCTACTAAAGCGTTTTAATTAAAAGCTGAACTGCCACTTTTGTGGCTGAAAACAAAGACTGATTATCTAAAATAAGCCAGACAACTGTTTTGCTGACCTTCAGCATCAGGCTGGGTACAAGAGACTGTGCTCTTTCCATCAGTGAGAAACGCTCTTTGACCTCACCTCTCCTGCTTTCATCTTAGGGGTATAACTAAGACATGAACAGCATTGCTGCTCATGCCTTGCTTTAAAGCACTAGGCTCTTCTCTCCTGCCACCATGGGAAGACTGTTGTGATGAAAGAACTGTTATAATTATTTCTGGGCTTTCATAATTTGGATTTGAAGTAACATGCACAAAGTTTGACATTAGAATATACATTACATCATCTTCTAGGATTGTAACTTTTATATTTTCAAAACTTGATTTGTAGTATTGCAGTTCAAAGGCCCTTTTTCCATTTGTGACTTTTTTTTTGCATGTCTCATACAATGCATTACATGCTATAATGCAGATTTTTAAAATTCTCTTCAGTTGTTTCACAGCATTCCAAGGTATTTTGATAGTCATGTGGTTAATTGTCATCAGCTATTTGATGTACTTGAAACTGAGAAAAAATTGGGGCCTTGTTTTAATAAGCTATCTGAATTGGTTCAGGGTAGTTCCTCCATTTGCTGTGCAGGCAAAGCAAGCTAGGGTCAGAAGGCTGTGCAGAGAAACAAAACTCTTTGTAACTAGATTTCAGATATGTAATGATGAACAACTGAAATTCTTCTAAACTTCAGAAAAGGAACATGACAGCAGAAGGGTGAATGGCACACAAACAGCATAGCCAAAGCCATAGTAACATCCTGGCTGGATATCGTGATGGCTGAAGGCAGTGTGGCTGCTCACTAGCTGGAGATGGAGGTCTGGCTGTGGCCTCCTCCTCCCTCCATTGTCCTTTGGGGAAGTTGTGGGAGTTCATGCTAAGGTGCTGCCCCACTCTGTCCGTCCACTTCTCTGTCTTGTCCTGAAATGTAGATAGATACACTGGGACTAAGGACCTGCAGCCCTCTCCTTGTAGCATCCTCAGAATGGCTCGTGGCTTGGACTGCAATCTTGGGTATTGTTTGGGCAGTGTTGCCACGCTAGCAGCCAGGTGAAGGGCTTGTGCTGTTGAACCAGCCAGGAGGCACACCTGGAGTCCAGGAAGGGTTTCGATGGTAAACCTGCCTAGAGGGTTACCTGCATGTGTTGCGAGGAGCGCGGAGATGTGTGGTTCCTGTGTGAACTACTTCAGGATACTGGAATTGTGCCACTTGGACCACAGTATTTTTTTAGAATTCCATCCACTTTGCTTGGTGCAAATATAGAACACTTTGTCCAATTTAACCGTTACTCATGTTACCTTAGTTTAAATTTGTTGTTTAAAGACATGTAATTATCTGTCTGCTTTAGAATTTCATAGTGATCTAGTGAGATCAATTTTAAACTGATTTTAATTAAACTGAAGAACCTTCCCCATTTTTACTGACAAGGCCTGTGACTAGCCTTTGTCTATGACAATAAAATTGCCTACGGGAAAAAAATACATCCAGTCTTAGACTTTTTTCTGCACGACTGATTTGTTCTGCTGAAGGCAAACTTAGGGAGTTATTTTGTATCTAAACAAAAAGAATTAAATTCCAAAGAGCTTTTTGTTCAGTTTTTGTTCCTTTACTTCAAGAGCGTTTCCTATTTATTAAGACTTATATTCATTTACTCCCAGTACAGCATTTCACTGTCTTTTATAGTAGACAGGCTGATGGACTTCATGACCATTCTCATTTCTGTGATGCTTTTTCCACTGACAAAAGAGAATGTAAGAGGGAGCTGGTATATTCAAATTTATGGTGATGGGAAGCAAAATACAAAATCCTAACTGCTGTCCTATGGTGAGATGTGCCAATATTGTAGTATGTGGAAAAAGAATAAATTGCTTTTGTTGAAGGTTATTTGGAGAAGATGTAGTGAATGTTGGAAAAGTCTCCTGTGAAGTTTCAAGTGCTTCAATGTTTGAGTACAGTGTTGTTTTGTTGAGGTGTGTATGAGACCTCTGTTAGGAGTTGCTACAGTGCTTAGATTATATGCACATCTGTCCATGTGAAAGTGGACAATGTAAAATGTGGTGGTGATTGGAGATGAATGTGAAGTATATTGCATGTAAATTCTTTTTCCTCTGGAACTTGTGGTTTTGCAAGAGTTCTGTGTGGGTGATGAGAATATTTCTAACACCCATGTTTCTGGCAATTGATTCTGTTTCAGTGAAGAAAGGGCAGCTCATCGAGGGCATAATTCAGCTAGTAAATAGATAGCTTGAAAGAGTGATTCTGGCAAGTAGGGCTGGTCAATTTGTTTTTGTTACAAAATGGATGATGGTGCAGAATGTCTATTCCCATTGGCTGTGTGCAGGACAGAAGAATAAAATACCTTTTGACTAGCAGTAAATCCATATGAAACGGAAAGTATTCATCACTTAATCTTTCACTTGTGAATTTTTTTGTATAGAAATCTTCAGAAAACAAAGACAAGATACTTCATTCTAATCTCCTACTTTTCATGGTTTTTTGTGCTTTGTCTTTTCTGTTTTGCAAGCAGCAGATTTGTCTTTTCATCTAAGTAAGTTATGCATGGGGAAATTGAGCCATTGAGCAGAGGCCCTTTATTAACAATATATAATATGAATAATATGAATGCTGCAGTAGCACTAGCAAGTATATGGTGGCGTTAAGTTTTCTAGGACTGATGGTCCTGCATGCAAAATTCTAACTTTACATTTTGTTCAAAAGGTAGTACAATAAATCAAAATTAAAACTTATAAAATAAGCTCATTAGACTGACAGATATGCTGCCACAGACTCTTACAGGATTGCACCTGAATTTGCAACACTTGCTTGTATTAATGAAACATGGATATGAACACAAGAAACTGGAAACAAGCAACAACAGATTATGTGCAAAATTTTGTTGCAAGTGTGGTTCTTGCTTTTTTTATGCAGATTCAGTCCTATCCTAGATGTGCTTGTAAACCTGAAAATAATTCTGGATCCAAGGGACTTAAACACGGTCTGTGCTTTAGTGTTCTGCCAAGCAAATGAAGAATGAAGAAGTGTAGGGTGTTTCTGGGAATAGGGAGGATGATGTGATTCATCATACCAAGGTTTGTGTTCTGATGAATGTGAATATGTTAGTGACTTCATTTAAAAAGTGTAAACTCTTTAGAAAGTGAGTGAGTATACACAGCATTGTCTGGCAACAACTTTTCTCCTCTACCTGCATTATGGTCAGTGTTTTTGCTTTGTTGAAATGGAAACTGATCTGCTGTTTGAGATTTTTCAGAAATAATTATTTTCAGATGCTGCAATATGTTAGGCCTACAAAACTACCTCAACACTTAAATAACTTCTTTTTCCTTCCCACAGATTGTCAGGAGCAATTGATGCCTGCAGGCTCTCTTCATAAAAAGAAACTGGAGAAGAGGATACCTGAGGCCAGAAGCTCAGTGACAGGTAGTTTCAGTCCCTGGGTGCCTGCAAGCTTTTCAGCCCAGAAGAGCTCCAACATGGCAAGCAGCGCTGTGGAGACTTTAAGAACCACTCTCTATGCAAACAGTGCCCAAATAACTTTGAATTCTTACACTGTAGTTCAGCTGCAAATAGTGCAGTAGTTCCCCCTAATGGGGTAAACAGTGTTGGCCACTACTGGAAATATGCCAGGACGCTGCAAAAATCTTTCATGTTGCAAGAGCCCACAGTCAGAAAACAGACTGATAACTTCTTACCCTGCTGCAGCAACAAGCAAAGGAGATATTTCTGCTGTATGCTGTACACAGCAGAAATGCCAGGGCACTAAAGTAAGCAAGCTCCCAAACATGCATGCTGTGGACCAGCCAGAAGTGAATAACAACTGTGAATATCAAAAGAGAGATGATGTTTCTCATTCTGTTGGTGCACACAATAGCTTTAGTTCAAGTTTCAGCTTCATACAGCTCTCCCTGGACTTGGCCTCTGGAGTAGGCAGTGCTGAAAGCAAGTCGGTTGTCAAGGAAGATGAGTATGTTCTGCATCCCAGCACTGCAGTAAATCTACAGAAGCCAGAAGAGATGGTGCAAACTCATGAGCACTTAGGAGCTTTGCATTGCTTCTCCAGGCCCAGTGCAGATTTGGAGTACAAAAATGAGACTGCAGCAAATTCTGAACTACGGGACTATGAGACTGTCTCTTTCTCAGATACAGATGCAACGTTTTCATGTTCTACAGATTCATCGGATGCAGCATCTGCTGGCTCTTCTGTCACCTCAGGCTATGAAAGTAGCTTTACTGTTAGTGACCACAACTGGGATACTTTGATGAAAAAGTATGAACCAGTGCTACAGGATTGCCTGCTTGGCAACCGCAGCGTATTAAAGGTTAGTAATCTCAGCTCATCTTTGATGCCTCCCTCTGGCTTTCAAAATGTTTGCATTTATAGTGGCAAATTAAAAGTTGATGTAGGAGTTGGGATGGCTTTTGCTGCATCAGTTCACAAGGTTTACAGGAACACACTGTATGATAGAAGTGAGAGAACCAGCTTTCTTTTTTTTATTATTTTTTATTTTTAAAGTGATGTTGCAGTACTTGATTGCTATGTTCTCCTGCAACTGTGATCCTCTCATTTCTATGTCACACATCAGTTTCTGAATTCAACAAATACCATTTCCTTTCCCAGTTGACTGATGTGTCTGCAGTTTGGAGTACACGTAGTTACAGTATTTGCGTGTGGTAAGAAATCTGCTCGTGAAGCACCATGATTTAGAAGCACTAAACTTTGTAATTAGAAATATGCAAGTCTAGCCAAACACTTCTTGGAATGAGGCACCTGTGTGAGAGTGACCTGTAATCTAATAGATGGGTGCTCTCCCTGCACAAATTAAAATACTCTTAATTCATACTGGGAATTGAACCCATGTTTTTTCCCCCTCCAAACCCAGAGGAGTACTGGGCCATTGAACTAGGAGTCTTTCTTTTTTGAACATGTGTATACTCACATGTATACCAACCATATATACAGGCAGTCTCATTCACTGTGCTCTTTGTGGGAGAGAAGTTGGGAAACTTTAAGAGGAATTAGTTATGTCTTGTTACACAGTTATTGGGATGTCTGGGTTGGCATTAGAGGAGGACCATTCTGAGCTTACATGCAGTAAGGAACCAAATATTTGCTTCATTTTGCATGCAGGAGGCAGTTATCCAGAGCTTAATATGGACATGATGGATTTCACAAATTTTTTCAAGGCGCATTAAGTGAGTGGTAGTTTATTTCTGGTATAGTGGCTCTTTTTGGTGTTTAAATTTCTTAATCTCTCACTAATGCCCTGAGTTTCTGGGATACTTTTCAGAAACCCGGGTTCTCGTGACTTGTCAGCTCACACATCCCACCTGAGATGCATTGTGTTGTCTTTAGACTTGGTAAAACAACCTGCACTGGGGAGGCTTTGCACAACCCTACTATCTGGGTAAGACAAAAGGTCAAGAAACTTAAGTCTTTACTCTCAATGACATCTGACCTGGGTTTATGATGCACTCTAATACATACTTTTCTTAGACGAGCCATGTAAGATTCAAGCTAGGTTCTCTTATTTGCAGACTTCACACACATTTATGTGGAGCAGATTCTTTGGCTTCATTCTGGAATTACAATATGCCTGTAGTTTGGAATTGTTTGGGAAATAAATTCACTGCAGATTTGGGAATATATAACATAATCAAAATAGGAAATTATTTTTCTGTCTTTTCAGTATGTCTAATTTGATAGGCACAAAAGAAACATTGCTATCTTTAATTTTTGTATTCATTAATTCATTGAATGGAGACTTGGGGATTTGTGTCCTCAGGTGTCTTTGCCCGTATGTTGTGGTTTGGGACAGCACAACAACAAAATAACATCCACATGGCAGCCCGGTCAAATCCCCTCCCCCGCCACACACACACTGGGATGAGGAGGACAAAGCTCCTGGGTTGAGACAAAGGACAAGGAGGGATCTTCACCAATTAAGGTCCCGGGCAAAACAGACTCAACTTGGGGAAAAAATAATAATTTAATTTCACACCAATCAAACACACACAGGACACACAACACAAAGAGCAGGGCTTGCATATGTTACCCCACCCCTCCCTTCTTCCCAGGCCCAAATCACCTTGTTCCCAGTTTCTCTCCCTCCTTCCCCCCAGCGGCACAGGGGGACAGGGGATGGGGTTTAGAGTCAGTTCACAGGCTGGTGGTTCCTGCTGCTCCTTCCTCCTCAGGAAGAAGGATTCTTTACAGTCCTTCCCTGCTTCCCCACAGGGTCCCTCCCAGGGGAGAGAGTCCTCCATGAACCTCTCCTTCCTGAGTCCTTCCCACGAGTTCCGGAGCTGCTCCAGCCTGGGCTTCCCAGAGTCAGGGGCTGCTTCGGGAACAAACTCTCCTGGCACTGGGGTCTTCCCAAGCTGCACAATCAGAGTCCACTGGCAGCAAATCCTCTGGCCACAAAATCCAAGTCCACTGGCCAAGTTCACCCCTCCTGACATCTTCAGGGAATGTTCCACCACGTTCCTCCATGAGTGCAGGGGCACAGCTGCCATCTCACCTTGGGCTGCAGGGAAACTTCTGCTTGGGCACCTTCTTCCCCTCACCTTCCTCACCAACCACCAGCACTGCTCTTCTTCCCCAGCACAGCTCTTCTTTCCCTCTCCAGCCTCTGCTCAGGTGTTATCTCAGTTCTTTCCTATGTTAATGGTAAAGGCCCATCTATTGTCCCTCTCCTGGCTCCTTGGCCATTTTGGAGCAGGGGGAGCTTCTCAGCTTCTTACTGGAGCCACTCCTGTGGCCCTTCTCCTGCTACCAAAAAACCCTAGCAAACCAAACCAGAACACCTTAGTTAGCCAGTCCTAAGTGTTTAATTTGAAGCACCTTCCTATTGTAATTATAATGAGCAAGTCTTAAGCCGTTCAGAAAGGAACAAAGGCAACTGTAGTCAAGAAAAGGAGACAATACCACAGATGTTAAAATTTTGCTTTCTGTACTTTTTTTTTTTTTAAAAAAAAAAGCTCATCCCATGATATAGATATAGGACATGCCATGCTGAAGCAGCTCTTTGATTAGTTGAGCTCCAAACATCTTACCAGACTGCAAATAGAAAACACTTTACTGTGAGAACGTCAGTCAGTTTGGTGTGGTTGTGCCTGAGCTGGGGTACCCAAGCAGACTTGGAATGACCTGCCACTGGGAGCCCGTGATGGAGTCAACGCTGCAAACACCAGCAAAGCTGTGTTTTCTGTATAAATGGTTGTTATACATCACATATATGAAAAAACTGTAATTTGAATCATTCCTATTGCAGGCTTCTTTAGAACTATCAAAAATATGGCATAAAATACAGAAAATAATTTATGGTGAGGGTTCAGAGCTCTTCCCTGCAGTATGATACACATTGCCCACCAGCCTCAGAGAAAAAGAATTGGAGCTTCAGGATGTGAAATACAAAATAAAATTAAGTCTGGAGAAAAAGGGTCTATATGCAATGTTTTTATGGTTTTGTTTTTCCTGTGGGGCATCTTATAGCCTGTTATTAATCAAGCATTTTTAAAAGTTCTTTTCTAGCTTTATTATTTATAGTTCTTTTATGACTAGCCCACTTTCACATACCATATTTAGAAGGGATACCATTAATTTAAATGTCTTGCCTAATTTATGTGTGGATTGTGTAGTCACAATAACTGAGTGTTTTTATTAAGTTGTTGACTGGCTGTACATATTTTTCCTTATGCAATTTAGAGTTTAAACATAAGGATTTAAATATGAAAGCGTTTCAGTGAGGAGCAAAATCTTTTAAGTGCTGAATGCCCAAAATACTGCTTTTTTTGTGTTGGAAAATGCTTTCCCAAGCACTTTCAGGCTTTGGACTATGAGAACATATGCTGCTTCCTTTTCCAGGTTTCCCTTTTTCGGTGCTGATAATGGCTTGTTTGGTACAATAAATTTATAATAAGACACTTTTCAGTCTTGTAACTGTAGCCATGTTAGACTGTGGCTGGCATGACACTGAGGACTGCCTGCCTTCTAACCAAATTCTTCTAAATCTAAAAACTTGTAATGACCTTTGAATACACACCTGGCCTTACAAATTTTTAGTAAATTTAGAACTTTGTTCCAGACCCTTCATGTTAACAAAGAGAAGCAGTACGTTTTGAAATGAAACTTTGTTATGGTAAGAGTTTCTTTTTGGGTGTGAAAGCGACCTCTGTGTAAAACTGGTGTTCTTGGTGTTTTTTCCCATCATCTAGTGTTTTCAATGTGAACATTTCTGAAAATGCAAGTGTGAATGTTATGTAGATGACCCTAAATTATATTTTAATGTAATTTCCTTGGTTGCATGTGAATACAATTTTTTTGTGCCATGAGTATACCTGTTGCAAAGTATTCATGCTGCATTTTTCTTTTAACTTGCAGAAGAAAATGTGGTTTGCATATGGAAATTCTGGATTTATTTTATGCAAAACTCATATAGGCAAAAAACCTGTTAGAATGGACTCAAGAACACACTATTGACTACAATGTGATTAGAAATAGATGTAATGCTGACAGAATCCTCTAATAATCCTTACTTTGATTTGTTCAAATGTGAAAAATATCCCACGATCATGTGATCTCTTTTGCTTTTCAATAAATATTGTTTGTTATTCTCTGTGTGTGTTTGGACTAAAGCCTTGCTTGGCTCAACTACCTGCAGTTCAGCTGATTTCCAAATAGGTCTGTCCACTTAAGAAATTCTGGGCTTAGCTCTCAAAATTGAGCCATTCTAGTACTGTAGTAATTCATTAATTTCACATCATCTAGAGGTTAATAGTCTAAATAGTTTCAAATGCAGCTTCTTTCATAATAAAACATTTTCTCTTTGCATAGGTAAAATCCTTGATCTTACAGCTTCAGAGGCTTCAGGAAAAAGCAATAGAGGAAGATGACTATGATAGAGGTGAGAATGGTCCTCCCATAGCCCCCACTGGATCATGCTGCTTTTTTATTCCTTCCCCCCTCATTCCTTAATTTTATTTTCTATTTGTTACATAGTGATGGTTAGGTGTGGAAGACTAGTTTGATTAACTGTATTGTTTATTCTTTTGCATGGCAGGAAACAAATTTAAGGAAGAAGTAGGTCAGCAGCAGGTAGCAAGAATTTTTATTGTCTTGAGCCACATGACCATGTGGAAAGGTTGAAATCCAAATATCCACCATCTGGATCAGCTGTTTTGAACCAGCATGACTTCAAAAAAATGCAGAAATGAGTGAAAGCTTTGAAAGAAGAAAGGACAGGCACTGGCTGCTGACAGTGTGATTTGTTGCTTGCCACATTTAGTCATGGTGCTATAGCAGGGCTCAAACACAGAAATTAGGTCAGTAGCTATTATAAAAGTGAATGATACTGTCCTGTGGGATTAAATTGATGTCCACTGAGTTGGATCAAAACCAGCTATAGAATATGATGGTGATACAGCAGCTGGCAAATATCTGTATTTGAATAGTGCTTTTCCTTTGAAATGCCTTGGCACTTCTGATAAGTTATGTGTGTGAACGTGCTCGTAATTGCAGCCTCTTGAAATACACATCTTGGGTTTCTTATTGTTTCCTGTTATGGTAAGTCTGTTTTCTAGAATAAATTCTTCCCACTAGATGTATCTTAAGTTGGGAAGCCTTGCAAACATTTCAGTAAAACCTGCAAGGGTATTTCAGAGAAAGTTCCTTTCCTGCCAATTTTTTATTCTCTGCTTTTAGGGGGTAGTCAGACTTGTGGTTTGTCTTTGAAAACTAATATGTGAAGCTTTACAATTCTACTGTGGCTCTGTGTCTCTGCTCCCAAAGGTGTCCCCTAAGATGATTAAAATGTGTTCTAACAGTGTCTAGAGCGTAGGTGTGTAGCCCTTTTGCAAGAGTGGTTCTGTTAACCTCTTAAAGGCTCACTTAATATATAGGAGAAAAGTCTGCTGCTCTCACAAGTCTTTCTTTTAGCATGGCATCTCCCAGTGGGGGAAACCTTTTATGTATGTTAAAATCTCAGTGTGGGTTTCTGTCAAATAGACACTATTTTGATATGTATGCTTTACCTGTCTAGCACTCATAACTCTTCTTTAAGTGTATGTGTGTTGAGTTTACCAGTTGGCGACTTCCCAAAGCCTGTGTACTCAGTGTGCCTGGTTTCTACAGATTCCAGCTAAGATTTTCTGGGCAACCAGCCACTCTGACAACACTGTTTAAATATCTTAGGTGTGACATCTGCATGTGATGTCATGTAGTTGTTGACCACAGTGGAAAATAATGACTCTTCTAACTTTGCACAGAAAGCTCGTGTAGTTTTCCTGGGTTCTAGTCTTGTATCCGGGACTAGATGATCCCTATAGGTCCCTTCCAATCCCTGACATTCTATGATCTTCAAAGCAGGACCATCTTTCTGTTAACTGTTGTTTTATCAATTACCCTTTTCAGTTTCCACTCTAGTTATCAGGCTGGTAGAACTGAGGACAGTTTGTAGAGTCTTGCATTAATTCCCTTAGGAAAATGGTCTGGCTGAAATGGGATTTCACCAGGTATTGTGGGCGCAGCTTAGACAGCAGAAGTGGCAGCAGTATGAAGGTGGAGAGGAGCATTTGCAGGTGGAGTTACTGTTTTCTGTGCTAGGTCTGACATATATAGGCAGAAAGCATTTGTCCTGATACGTGACTAGATACTGAGGTCCTTGAGAAACTCTGCATGCCTTGAGTTCCTCCACCCCTTTGAAAACTGGAACTCCATCTTCACATAAATGTTCTCAGAAAAAGCCACGCTTTGTGCATGCATGTGGCCAGGCATCCTTCATTTTGTAACTTCCTAATTTTTGACTCCTTGATCCACTTTGTCATGCTGGTGTTTGTTCCTCTTCTGATACAGCTGTCAGATGGGGATTTTTGTGGGTACTTTTCATTACTTTAACGATATCTGAACTGGCTTCCCTAGTTGCTCTTTTGTAAATCATGGGCAGTGTAACTCCAGGGAAAGACTCACATGGAGAAGGTGCAGTGCTGCAAGAAGATTAGACCTGTGACTGACCTTCCCTCTCCTGCAGGAACAAGCTTTCCACCTTTCCTTTTAGATATGTCACTGCTGCTGGTGGAGAACAAAGTCTTGCCTGGCATGAAATGAAGTTTGAAAGCTTATTAAAGAGCTTACAGATTGGCTGAGAACCAATTTCTGTTCAAGTGAAATCTGTAATTAGTCTTCTTTAAAGGGATCTTATTGCCAAATATTGCTGGCAGGGAATGGAACTGCTAAATGTGCAGAATTGTGATTGCAGGGCATAAATGGAAATATATTGTCAGGGGGTGGGAGAAACTGACACAGTGTCTGCAGAGGGCTAAGGACATTTTAACTAGAATGCTAAAAATAAAATTACTGTCCCTCTAATTTGTGGGACTACTTTGAGTATAGAGTGAGTCCTGTGTTAAGAGCAGTACTGTTTTCAACTGGAGATTATGGTAGTGATGTGTGTGGTGGTAGCATGGGTCCTGGTGATTGATCTAGGAGTGCTGCAGGTGAAGGAGACAGATCTAGGACGACGTGTAGCTGGGAAATGCACTGTTGGTAGAAGAGTTGAGTAGAGGAGAAGGAGAGTGGGTAGAGAGAGGTGTGGGTGGCTATACCTCCAAATAGAAAACAAAATTGTCAATAAAATACATTGTGTGTATGTTACTGCTTCAGGGGTAGAGGCTCTTCTCCAACTTCAACCATAGACAAGAGCTCGAGATTTTTCTGCCTTGGCTCTCTTAAGAGCCTTCCAGACTTGCAGGAGGGGACTTGATTTTTAACAGTAGCTCAGTAAGAGAGCAATGTGTTAGCACTTAACACTCCTCAAAGTGCTCAGAACTGACTTCTGCTATCTGACACTGCAAACTTGATAACTTAAGGAAAGGCAACAATTTACTGTCTGTCATTGTTGCTTTCACACTCTCCAGAGCTTTCTGAAGCTCCCATAGTTTATAGTAATTTTGAAACTGAAGTGTGGGTAAAGTAGTTCCCCTGCAGAGAGGGTATAGAGATGCACAATGTTTTCTTTTGTGGCAATGAGACTAGGAAATGGCACAGAAATAAAGGCAAGTTTTTCCCACTACAAAGCCAAGAACAAATACCTATTTGCAAACAGGTCAGAAATAAGGATGTATTTGTTTTTCCTCTTTGCAGAAACAGAACAGATGCTTGCTCCTTCTCAGTCCTGGTTTAATTTTAAATAGGAATCCTTAGTATGTTACTTGGTTTATTGCTCATCCAGTGTTTGTAGGTGATGAAATAATAGGAAATTGCTTATTTTCTGTATTTGCTTGTGGTCTCCTCTTGATGGCCACATTACTGTATATTTTCAAAGCAGATACAATATCATGGGAATACGATAACAGCATTTTGCCTTGCATAGCATATAGTAAAAATTGGTCTGTTCTCCAAGGATCACTTGGAGTGTTGTCATGGCTCATTATTCATGGTAGAGCTTGACAGCTCCAAGGTTAAACACACTGCTGAATACAGGAGGTAAAAAAAACACACTTTTTTTTGTTTGTGGGAGTTGTGCTTGCAGTGGAAGCAAGTGTATTTTTCAGTACAAATCTACTGCCTAAACATTTAAAAACCCTTTTCCTGTTCTTTGCTTTCTGAATGTCTGGGATGAAAATGTAATTTGTTAAATGGGAGGTCTTCACCACTTCTTTTGCTTGTACTTGCAAACACTGGATTATGCAATATCCCCAAACTCCTGAAGAGGTGTACACTTGTTGGGTCTTTCCAAATTTCTTTTTGAGGTTTAAATTGGAAAAATATTTTTCTAGAGTAAAGTACTATTTCTAGTTACAGAATCATAGCTTTTAAACATTTGAATCAATTTGATCTTCAAGAAGGTGTTGTGTTTTTTTGTTGGGTTGTTGTTTGTTTTTCTGGAAGTTATTTGCAGATGAGGGTTGGATAGAATACTTAGTTTGCTGTACTTGTTATTCTGAAAAAGGCTTTCTTGACAGATGGCTGTTATAATGGGACACAGAACTAAAGGGAAGTTAGCTTCTTTCTGAGAAAGGACAATGAATTTGAGAGAGAAGCTGTATCTGGAGATAATTCTTAAAGAACATGTTACTTTGGATTGTACTTTTTTTTTCCGGATGGTTTGCACCTCTGTGAAGTAATTGTGTGATGTGTAAATTAGACTTAATTTTCCTTGCAACAAAACAGAATCAGCACAAGCCTAGCAACTCTTCCCTCTTGCCTGAGTTTTGTTGTTTAAGATACCAGTCTGAAATGAAAAGGTAACTTTTTTTGTCCATATCCATTTATTGGTTCATGCTAGCTGAAACTCTGGACCAGGCTGCTGTTGTTCAAATACTTGGTCTTGGCTTCTGTCTGCTAGCAGCCAATTTCTAGCTATTCTACTATCACCATTTCTTTTTATGCAATCTGTGTCAGCCTTATCTAGTTGTTATTGATTTATTTTTTTTTAAGTCATGTAATTTGGACAGGAGTAGAGCCAGTTAAAGCTTAAAAGTCTGAAATTCCTTATCTTACTTTCTGTTAGACAGCTGGAAAACTGCCAGTTTTGTGTTTGTTTTGTTGTGGGGTTTTTTTTGCTAATACTAAAAAAAAATATATAATAATGGCCAATGTTTACAAGGTATACATTTCTTGGTACTTTCACTTCTTGTGTTCGTTAACTGTGTATCACATGCATCTTTAACAACTTGTAACATTTTTTACCTGAACCCTCATTTTGGCCCAGTTGTTCATTTTCCATCACATCAGAGTGTGTCTTTGAGGTCAGGCAGGATTGTGCTGTTGGTCTGCTTTTGCCCACACACTGAAAATATATTTTCTGCATCTTGAATTGCTCAGGCAATATTGGAGGGGAAGCTGCTATAGTCGTGCAGTATCTTGCTTGGACTATGCAGCCTAAATATTTTTAGGATGTGATTAGTA